ATCCTTATATCCATATACAAGGCAGTACTCATAACAATATCCATATACTTTTCTTTATTATTATCTAGGGCACATATTGGTGCAATTATTTTCACTCTTGTCTACACTTATCACTATTTCCACGGTTTTTGGTTTAAATTTCACTATAAAACTCGATATAAGAATAAGATTTTATGATTTAAACACTATTAATACAGTCAACACTCACTACAGATAATTCCATGCTCTCAAATCATATGATTTAATTACATGTATTTGTTTATGAAACCTAGAAGGGATTAAACCTGGTATGTAAATAAAGGGATTAAGTGTAGACAAGAGTGAAAATAATTGCACCAATATGTGCCCTAGATAATAATAAAGAAAAGTATATGGATATTGTTATGAGTACTGCCTTGTATATGGATATAAGGATATTGCGTAAAGATTACGTGATATTATTAACTTTAGTAAAATAATAAATTAACCTGTATTGTAAATGCTTTGTGTATTTATTTCATACTTTGTTGGAAATGGTGAAACTACTGAAATAAAGTAATTAAATTAATTTTATGCGAGTTCTATGTATGTATCACCATTTTGTTTATAATATAATTTGAGTAAATACTTTGTATGATTTTACAAAATAATTAAATTTAAAAATTATATATATTATCAAGGTTATCACAGTTAGAGCGATGAGCTGTTACTTATTTCCCAGATGAAATATTACAAATGATTTTATATGATCGCTTAGTTGTATTTTAAAATATGACTTTACTTAAAAAATACTTACCAACCAAAAGATCACATAATTTTTACCGTGCTACATTTTTTGAATTAACAACTATTGGCACCGGGGGTTTTGGCACGGTTTTTAAAGTGCAGGATAAAGTAACGGGTGATATTTATGCAATCAAAAAAATTTATATGAATCACATAATTTTTACCGTGCTACATTTTTTGAATTAACAACTATTGGCACCGGGGGTTTTGGCACGGTTTTTAAAGTGCAGGATAAAGTAACGGGTGATATTTATGCAATCAAAAAAATTTATATGAAAGGTAGATTAATTTGGAAAAACGTTCTTACTAAAAATTATTTAATATTTCAGATTTAAATGCTTATGATAAATCACGCGTATTAAAAGAGGTTAATACCTTACTTACCGTACAATCGGAATATGTGGTGAAATATTATAACTCATGGAACTACAAAAATTATATATACATACAAATGGAGTTATGTACACACAATCTAACAAGAATACTTAAAAACAAATCTGTAGATTTTGACCGAAAATTAGGAGATCCCATGAATTTAAGTGAATACTTGATTTCATGCGAAATATTTCGACAAATTTTAGAATGCGTTCAGTATTTGCATGAATTGAATCCACAGATCATTCACAGAGACCTCAAACCCGACAATATATTGATCAATTATACGGTAGGAAACGGTCGGTTTGTTAAGTTATGCGACTTTGGTTTGGCTACAGTTCACGACAAACGGGTCAACTATCGTACGTCACATAAACACACAGCAGATGTAGGCGACGTACGATATATAGCACCAGAAATATATCAGGGTAAAAAGTATGGTCATAAATCTGATATCTACAACTTGGCACTTATTGGCGGTGAAATATTTGATTTAGATCTATTTAAATCGGATATAGATATGTATAAAAATATTTTGTCTAATTAAATATTGTTTCTAAATGAGAAAATTATATTTTAACAGAGGGCGCATTTATATAGAAGCAAATTCGGTTTTAAGCGAGCGTGTTCAAAAGTTATATGCGATTCTAATGGCCATGATCACAAATCCATTATGGGATAAAAGGCCAGAATGTCGTCATGTGTTGTTGAAATATGGCGAGTGGTCTATTGATACGAATACGATACTAAATTCGCACATGGTCAACAAATTTGAAAGTTTAGATGACCATTTATTTAACGACATATTAAAATCAATTACGAATAAACATGCTAGAGATGTCGGCTCGAAATCGATTGTTGACAACCTTACAAGGACATTAGAGAACCGTGGCGATTATGGTCATATATATATAAAAAAGGTCCAGCCTACAGATTCGCTAATACAGGCGCAGTCCGCCCCTGATATAAAAGCATTTAGCCATCCTGTAGATGGCTCATACAGTGTGCCCAGAATGGCGTCGGCACCTGTTATAGACTTTGTAGGCCATTCTGCTTCGACATCAAATCAACCACAATTAATTCAGTTAAGTGCGGCTATAACCCAAAAAACGGACTCTATAATTCGTAAACCCTTTTCACTGCCGCCACCTTCACCAATAGCATCGCGAAGCTATAGATCGTTACCAAGAGTATTATATTCACTTTCACAACCATCATTGTTGCCACCCAATCCTAATTACAAATATATAGATAGTTTCCCGTTTAACCCACAATCCAAAAATGAGTCGTACGCTTAATATTAGTCACAAAATATTTGCGTATAAAATACTCCAGAAGTTTTTATTTTCCAATCTATATCATACCTACCATTATATGGAAAGACACGTGATCATACAAACAAATAGATTCTATACAGACCTGGAGATATGGGGTCATTTTTCCAGAAACGGAAATTCTCAAAAAGTGGTTTTTTGAGCCCCCTTTAGCAAATCAAAATCAATCAGCTTTCATTTAAAATAACATTAATATTCATTTGTTTATCAAATTAATTGTATATTGATATTAATAAAACATTTGTAAAGTATAAACAAATATCAATATATGGACAACGGATCCGAGAGTTTATCAATGGATCCAACTTTGTGTTGGCTATCAATGAGGACAACCATGTGTTCAGTTGGGGACACAATTCCGAGGGACAGTTGGGTCGAAAAGTAACACATTTTAAAGATTGTTTAAAACCACACGAAATATTGTATTTGAATGACAAGAATATAACACATATTTGCTGTGGTTTTGAGCACTCCCTGGCCCTCACCACCGATGGACAGGTGTACGGGTGGGGCAGTAATAATTACGGACAGGTAGGCTGCGGTAATAATGAAAACAAAATAATCTCGTCACCGGTTTTGATATCATTTGGAAATAATTATAAAATAAAAACTATATTCTGTTCAATGGATAAATCATTTACCGTTACTATCGATGGTATGGTATTCAGTTGGGAAGATAATAACAGTCACTTATTGGGACATAATATCAGTGACATGCATATTATATTTTCACCCAAACTGATCCCACATTTACGTGATATCAAGTCAATCAGGTGTTCAACACCATTATCATATAATTATTTTACATGTTTTCTTTCAGCAAATAATATAATATACTTTTGTGGCAAATATATTGATGACACAAATAAAAGGCGAATACAAATGACTCCGGTGAAAATTCCAATAGAATTAAATGTGCAACAATTTACAGAATTATATTCCAATTTAGATGAAAATCCATTAATAATACTAAATGGTTATAAAATTTGCGAGCTTACTTCGCCGTATAAATTTAAAACATATGACTACGATAATTTTATTGACTTTTATGCCAATGAATACGAAATAACATATAATACAATAGGAATTGACACAAATGTTGGCACCGATTCTGGTGAACCAAGAATGCAATTAAAACCGAAAATGATTTCAAATTCTGGTGAAGGAAAACAGGTTTTAAACCCAAAATTTGTCTCAATTTCGGATAAATCAAAACCGCAATCCAACCCAAATATTAAAAAGAAGCCTGTTAACATAAACTCTCAAATAAATCCAAAATTAAATAAAGTTTTAAATACCATTCCCGAAAAATATAATAATTTAGTTCAAGGTATTGAATAATTTCTTCTTGTTTGAATAATTATAAATTTCCTTAGTTTTACTAATAATGAAATTTAACAAAATAGTTTTTTAATCTAGGAATTAATTTGTTTGAAAATCATTACCAAAACCTCTTCGAGGAGTTATCGACCATAGGATCGGGAGGTTTCGGAACTGTATTCAAAGTAAAGCATAAATTCGATGAACACATATATGCCATCAAAAGGGTCGAGATCAAAGGTAAATATCAAATAAATCTTTTGCATGAACTAAAAATAATTTAATACTAAAATTGTTTTCCAGAATCTACTGATGAATATATGAAACAAATTATGAGTGAAGTAAAGAATTTAGGAAAAGTTCGATCAGAATATTGTGTTCTTTATTATAACTCATGGCCCGAAAGCAAACACCTCTACATTCAGATGGAGTTTTGTTTACAGAATTTAAGGAATATTCTTGAAGTGAAAGCACAAGTATTTGGTCGACAATTAGGAAAAGCCATGGATTGTGTCGAGTATTTCATTTCGTGTGAAATATTGCGACAAATTTTAGAAAGTGTTCAGTATTTACATGATTTAAATCCACAGATAATCCACAGAGACCTCAAACCAGAGAACATATTAATGGTTGAAAATGTGAGGAACGGTAGATTTGTTATGTTATGTGACTTTGGATTGGCTACAGTTCACGACAAAAATATAAATTATATGACTCGTGATAAGCACTCAACAGGTTTGGGCACTATAAAGTACCAATCACCCGAAATATCCCAAGGTATTAAATATGGACATAAAGTGGATATTTACAGTTTAGCAATAATTGGTGCTGAATTGTTTGAATTGGATCTGTTTTTTACTGACCCTGATAGGTATGCAATAATTAACAAGTTCATTTTGAGAATTAAATTAATTTTCTCCATTGTTTCTGTAGTTCGGAAAGCGTTTACTCCGGGAATGAAATATTAAAACCAAAAGTAATTTTATTACAAAATCTCTTGCAGTCAATGTTACAGCAGATATTACCGTTTTATAAACGAAGGCCTGATTGTTCACAAGTACTAAATAAAACAAAAGATTGGAATATCGATCAGAATATTCTTAAGAATTATAATATTGAATTAATACTTTCTCAATTAAAGTGTCATAGGTTTTAATATGGTTTAAAAGTATATTATGCGTTTAATTATATTAACTATTAATTTTGTTATATTGATTTAATTAACTAAAATATAATAATTTTCTATAAATTATTTAATATAAATATTTCTGAAATTGTAATTATTATAGCATCATGTTTCATAAACATTTAATAATGTTATAAACGACACAAAAAATATATGAATTCCGATGATTTTTATTATCATGCTTAAATTTTTATACATAATTCTATTGTGCATAATAATAGTATTTACTCAAAATCCTAACCTAACCTTGCTTATATAAATTTATTTTTACATGTATTATGTAACTACCGGTATAGTCAATGAAAATTATACGTGATTTTAAACTCAATTAATTATAAGTTTTAATCAATTTTAATATTTTTATTGTTATTTCGTTATTTAGTCTTATAGTTAGTTTACAATTGTGAAACATTTTTTAATTTTAAAAGTAATTATTATCAAAAATAATATTTGTACTGTGCAATGTGTCTAAGCCAGATCAAAATAAACATAATAATTAATAGATATTGTAGTTTACATGGACTTTGAAAATTAACATGTGGTCTAATACTTTACTATAATAATGTTTAACTGTATGTCTATAAATTATTTTATTAAATAATTTTTAATTAACAAGAACAAGCAATAAATAGTTGTAACCTTAATTCTATTATCAGACCTGGATGTAACAAATTATTAATAAATTGTAAATAAGCAGGACGCTAATAAATCAAAAATAATTAAAATCTAATCTATTTTAAAATAAATATAAAAATCTGTACAATTCATTTATGTTATAATAGTAGTTTAAACCGTATATACAATTACAAATAATAAAAGCTCTAATTTATTACCCTAATTTAGCTTTATAATTCCTACTAGATACACTAATTATAAAATAGTTTTAATAAGACTTTAATCAGTTATGAGGCAAATGAAAATATTTTCTTAAAACAAATATTTATTAAAACATATTATTAATAACTTATTTAATTATTTTTATAATTTAAAAGCTTATTTTAGCAAAGGGTGGTGGTGGGGAGTAGAGTGGTGTAGCGGTTAGAGTGCCTGCTTAACAATAGCTAAGTTAAGGTTAATCAATAGGAGACTACCTGAAAGGAAGTGTATAGGGGGACATGAGTTCGCGCCCCAAGCGGGGAAAATTTTTTTTTATTAGAAGTTTTAAAAAGTTTTGAAGTACTTTATATATAAATATAAATTTTAAAAATTAAAAATAAATTAATAATAATAATAATAAATTATATAAATTGCCGCAATAATAATTTCCTTTAAGTGCCGTTTTATCAGTAAACTAAACTAAAGTTTAAAATATATACTGTACCATATTTGGGAAAACAATGCTTTGTTACCATTGGATATTAATTGTGATAATTTTTATACTGGTATTGTTAACAATTGAATCATTTATGAAATACATAACTCTCTCAGAAATATAAACCCATATATAATATAATAATAAAATGTGAATTCATATCAAATCACTATTTCTAAGACAACGCTCACAATACATACATTTTTATAGTAATTGGAAACTTAAAATTTTGTTGTTGTTAATTTTTAATTAATTAATTAATTAAATTATAATTGTGTAGAAAATGTCTATAATTTTAGAAAAGTTTCGCATTTGTAAAACGATTGACACGAATGTCAAACATGAAATCAAATTATTTCACGTTTTCAATGACTTACGAAATAAACAGAATATACTGTTTATTACAAACAGTGATATAGTGTACGGTATGGGCTATGATATGAATGCATGGCTGGGTTTTACTAACAGACGTAATGTCCAAACACCAGAGATTATACAGGAATTATGCGGACAACGGATCCGACAGTTCATCAATGGCTCGGACTTTGTGTTGGCTATGAATGAGGACAACCATGTGTTCAGTTGGGGAAGCAATGATTGGGGACAGTTAGGCAGGGATCAGGAAACACGTCAAGTATGGAAAATTCCTCAGAAGATTTTCTATTTAAATGACAAGAATATCAAACAAATCATTTGCTCATTTAATCACTCCCTGGCCCTCACCACCGATGGTGAGGTGTACGGGTGGGGCAGCAATAGGTGGGGACAATTAGGCTGCGGTGATAATAAAAACATAAAAGTATCGCCTGTTTTGATAGATTTTGGAAATAATTATAAAATTAAAAGCATTTTCACTTTTACTGACTGCTCATTTGCCGTTACTATCGATGGTATGGTATTCAGTTGGGGCGATAATAAGGAGCAATTGGGTCATAATCAATTTTCAGATAATATATTGTCACCCAAACTGATCCCACATTTACGTCATATCAAATCAATTTTATGTCCAACATTCTCATCAGATAATTATTTTACATGTTTTCTGTCAACAAATAATAAGATATACTTTTGTGGCAAATATATTGATAATAAAAATAAAAGGCAAATACAAATGACACCGGTACAAATACCCATAAAATTAAATGTGCAACAATTTCCCCAATTATGTTCATATTATTTTTTGAATCCATTAATACTATTAAATTGTAATAAAATTTGCGAGCTCACTTTGCCATATAATTTGAAAGAATATAATTATAATAATTTTATTGACTTATATGCCAATGAATACGGAATAACTTATAATACAATACATATTATTGACACAAATATTGTCACCGATTCTTATGAATTAAAACTTCAAAACTTGAATCCAAAAATGGTATCAAATTCTCGTGAAACAAAACAAGAGTTAAATTCAAACCCAAAATTTGTGCCTAAATCTGATGAAACAAAACCCCAACTTAAACCCAAACCAAATTCATCTAAATCATTTACTTTTATACCAAAAGATAAACCTAATTTAACTAAGGGTATTAATTTATTTTAATATAGAATATTTATATTTAATATTAATAACTTTTAAAAATATTTAATAAATAACAGGAACTAATTCACAAGAAAATCTTTACGAAAATCATTTCATTGAGTTGTCGGATAAGCCCATAGGTTCGGGAGGTTTCGGAACAGTATTTAAAGTGAAGCATAAAATTGATGAACAGATTTATGCCGTCAAAAAGGTTGAAATTAATGGTGATTATGAAAAATGTTTTCATTTATATACTGTATTTTATATAAAAACTATACATATTTATTAAAATAGAATTTCATTTTAGAATTTTCTGATATGACACAACTGTTTGGTGAAGTCAAGAATTTAGTTAAAGTTCACTCAGAATATGTGATCCAGTATTTCAATTCATGGATTGAAGGGAATTCATTATATATTCAAATGGAGTTCTGTTCACAGAATTTAAGGAATATTCTCGAAAAGAAAGCAAAAGTATTTTCGAGACGATTAGGAAAAGCCATGAATTGTGTCGAGTATTTCATTTCGTGTGAAATATTCCGTCAGATCTTAGAAAGTGTTCAGTATTTGCATGAATTGAATCCACAGATCNAGATCTTAGAAAGTGTTCAGTATTTGCATGAATTGAATCCACAGATCATTCACAGAGACCTCAAACCAGAAAATATATTAATCACTGAAAATGTAAGGAACGGTAGATTTGTTAAGTTATGTGACTTTGGTTTGGCTACAGTTCACGACAAAGACACAAATTATATTACACGTAATAAACACACAACAGGTGTGGGCACTATAAAGTACCAAGCACCCGAAATATCTCAGGGAAGCAACTATGGGCTTAAAGTAGATATTTATAGTCTGGCAATAATTGGGTCCGAAATATTTGAATTAGATTTATTTTATACTGACCCTGATAAGTATAAATCAATTTATATTATATAAATTATAATTAATTAATTCTTTTTCCTAAATATAGTTCTGAAAACATTTACTACGGGAATGAAACCCTAAATATAAAAGTAATTTTATTGCATAAGATATTACAGTCAATGATATTACCGTTTATTAGCCGAAGGCCTGACTGTTCACAAGTATTGAGCAAATCTAATGATTGGACTATCGATCAGAATATTCTTAATGATTATAATATTGAATTAACACTGTCCAAATTAAAGCATCATGATATATTTTTCACTAATATTTTTCAAAACAAATTTAAACTACGGAATTAAAATTATCAACTTGGATAGGTGTATCTAATACTGTATTATAAAATTTTGTATTTATTAAACATACCTTTGTTACCTACTCTTTTTCTAGATAAATGAAAATGTGTACTTGAACTTTTAAGTTTGATAAGTTTTTTATTATGTATAAAATATTTAACAGTAAAGTATAATATATAATATATATATAATATTACAATATTATTTTGCAAAATAATTATCTAAAATTATATGTAATAATGTGATATACAAAAAGTGTCTTAAAAATTAGTTACAAGTTTTATTATAATAGACTTGTAAATTTTAAAATTAGCTTAACACTAATTTGACTGATAACCAACCGAGCAATTAATTAAAATTTATAAATTATTTTATTATATTTTTAATATGGGTATACTTTTAAATTGATTTTAATACCAATTTATTAATTACTCCTTGGCCCTCACCACCGGTGGACAGGTGTAAGGGTGGGGCTGTAATAGTGACGGACGGATAGGTTGCGGTGATAATGAAAACACAATAATCTCGTCACCGGTTTTGATATCATTTGGAAATAAGTATAAAATAAAAAGTATATTCTGTTCAGAGCGTCATTCGGTTGTCATTACTATCGATGGTATGGTATTTAGTTGGGGTCATAATTATGGCAATCTATTGGGACATAATATTGGGGATGATTATATATTATCACCCAAACTGATCCCACAGTTACATGATATCAAGTCAATCAGGTCTTCAACACAATGATTGGATAATTATTTTACATGTTTTCTGCAAATAATATGATATACTTTTGTGGCAAATATATTGATGACACAAATGAAAGTCGAAAACAAATGACTCCGTTGCAAATACCCATAAAATTAAATGTGCAGCAATTTAATGGAAAAAATCCATATTTAGATGGCAAACATTAATAATACTAAATGGTAAAACAATTTGCGAGCTCACGTCACCATATAATTTGCAAACATATAAATATAATAATTTTATTGACTTTTATGCCAATGAATACGAATTAACTTATAATACAATACATATTAATTACACAAATGTTGGCACAGATTCTGATGAACCAAAACTGCAATTAAACCCGAAAATAGAGTTAAATTGTGATCAAACAAAACAAGTTTTAAATAAAAAATTTAAACAACTGGTAAAATAAAATCACTATTAAACCCAAACACAGAAGTCGTCCCAAAATCTGGTCAAACAAAACATGAATTAGACCCAAATCCAGGGGTTGTGTCAAAATCTAAAGAAACAAAATCGGATTTAATATATTATGTTCCTAGTATTCATACAAATATTTAGCCAACAATGTGTAAGGGAAACGTTAAAAATAAGAACAAACACAAAAAAATATAGATGTATAAAAACTTTGTCTTTGCAAATTCAAACATTTATATTATATATCAATATGATATTATGAACATTAATTATTAATATGAACTTATTTTAAATATAAAATTTTTATAAAAATTAGGAAACAATTCATCGGAAAATCATTACAAAAGTCTGTTCATTGAGTTGTCGGCCATCGGTTCGGGAGGTTTTGGAACTATATTTAAAGTGAAGCATTGATTCGATGAACAGATTTATGCCATAAAAAGAGTGCAAATTAAAAGTAAATTCAGAAAATTATTATTAATGTTCATAATTTTTGTTATAAAATGTATTTCAGATTCTTCTGATAAATACTTACAACGAATTTATAATGAAGTCATAAATTTAGGAAAAGTTCGCTCAGAATATGTCGTTCAGTATTACAACTCATGGCCCGAAAGCAAACACCTCTACATTCAAATGGAGTTTTGTTCACAGAATTTGGTCAGAATTGGTAACACGTTTTAACTTTTGGTAAAACAAATTTTCAATTGAATAAAAATATTGACACAAAATCAGTTGATATAACAACGAAAATAAACCCAAATTTAAATAAATTTTTGAATCCTATTGCCGAGAAAAGTAATAAATTAGTTAAAGGTTCTGTACACTTTACGTCATAAAAAATACGTCGAAACTTGATTCAATTTTATAGTTTGACTAATAATAAATTTGATATTTAACAAAAACACTCATTATATATAGGAAATAATTTGTTTGAAAATCATTACCAAAACCTTTTCGAGGAGTTATCGACTATAGGTTCGGGAGGTTTCGGAACTGTATTCAGAGTAAAGCATAGAATCGATGTATACTGTATACTGTATATGCCGTCAAAAGAGTCCAAATTGAGGGTAAATACTATTTGAAACCATTTTTTAATTAAATTAACATTTTATTAATATTTCAGATGTTTCTAAAGAAAAACTACAAGAAATTTATAATGAAGTAAAGAATTTAGGAAAAGTTCGCTCAGAATATGTAGTTCTCTATTATAACTCATGGCCTGAAAGCAAACACCTCTACATTCAGATGGAGTTCTGTTTACAGAATTTAAGGAATATTCTTGAAGTGAAACCACAAGTGTTTGGCCGACAATTAGGGCAACCCATGGATTGCATCGAATATTTCATTTCTTGTGAAATATTGCGACAAATCTTAGAAAGTGTTCAGTATTTGCATGAATTGAATCCACAGATCATTCACAGAGACCTCAAACCAGAAAACATATTAATCCCCGAAAATGTAAGGAACGGTAGATTTGTAAAGTTACGTGACTTTGGTTTGGCTGTCGAGCACCGGACAGAAACTAAACAGAGTCACACCACAAATGTGGGAACCGCTAAATATATGGCCCCAGAATTGTATCAATCAAAGTATACCACAAGATCTGACATTTATAGTTTGGGTATTATGTCGATGGAATTGTTTGATATATTCTTAGAGTAAGTTTTTAATCATAATTTTCATTTTAATTTTTAAAAATTAATTTTCATATTTATTATAGAGAGAGTGAACTCAACAAATACAAAAATAGTGTATTTCATATGAATGTTAAAAATATTTTAGACATTTTCAAAAACATGGTTTCGTTCGAGCCATAGGAGCGACCTGGGTGCAAAGATAATTATATATAAATACTAAATGGTCGTTTAGCATGGCCATAATTGAGTCACACAAGAGTGAAATTCGTGAATTTATAAAACAAAATATATCCGATTACTCAATATTTAATGATTTAATACCAAATAATATCAAATTGTAGGACAGCGTTGACTTCATATAAATTTAAAATAGCTAGATAATTTTTTTAATAAATAATTTCATATAAAAAAATTAATTTATATTTCTAATTAACTCAATGTTTAATTACATGTCTGTTTATGTTATTTACTGTTCATGTGTATGTAATCTATTAAAATTAAGTAATACTATTATCATCATTAATTTAGAATTTTTTCTATTTTCTTGTTTTATTATATATTTCATACAAATAATTTATATTGTACATTTTATTATTGCAATAAAAACAATAGAAAATCATGAATGCCTATAAAGTAACAGTTATGATAAAATAATTTTAAAAATATTGCAAGATAGGGGAGGGCTTGATTTCTATAATACTGTTTTATACGATTTTATACAAGACTTTTAACAAAAAAGTTAGTAAAGTTTTGCCAAACTTATTTTCTCGTGAACGACCTTTTATTTTATATAACTTACTAAATTTCATTTTTAAAAATCATGTTTGAATATAATTACTTTTATAAATAATTTAACTAGTTTATTATTTATTAATCACACAAAGTTTATAATAATATTTTCTTTAAATGAATTTTTATCAATAAATTAAAGGTTAAAATACTCACTGTAACTGGAAAGGTTTTGTTACCAGGGATACAAATTGTAATAATTATTATACTGGAATTGTTATCAATTGAATTCATTATGAAATTAATAACTCTCTCAGAAATATAAACCCATATATAATATAATAATAAAAGTGAATTCATATAAATCACTGTTTCTAAGACAACGCTCACAATATAGACATTTCTTATGTGATTAGAAACTCTTGAACTTATTTTGGTGTTAATTATTAAAAATTATTTAATTAATTTAATTATAATTGAGCCGAAAATGTCTACAATTTTTGAAAAGTTTCGCATTTGTGATACGATTGACACGAATATCAAATATGAAATCAAAATATTTCACGTTTTCAAAGACTGGCGAAATGAAGATAATATACTGTTTATTACAAACAGCGATATAGTGTACGGTATGGGCGCTAATAACGAGGGATGTCTGGGTTTGGCTGACAAACATAATGTCAAAACACCAGAATTGTGTGGACAACGGATCCAACAGTTTATCAATGGCTCGGACTATGTGTTGGCTATGAATGAGGACAACCATGTGTTCAGTTGGGGAGGCAATGAATTTGGGCAGTTAGGCAGAGATCTGGAAAGAAGTCAAGTTTGGAAAATTCCTCAGAAAATTTCCGAATTGAATGACAAGAATATCACACAAATCAGTTGCTCTGTTCTACACTCCCTGGCCCTCACCATCGGTGGTCAGGTGTACGGGTGGGGCCATAATAAGTGGGGACAAGTAGGCTGCGGTGATGATAAACACGCAAAAGTCTTGCCGGTTTTGATAAATATTGGAAATAATTATAAAATTAAAAGAATTTTTGCTTTTACTTGCTATTCATTTTCCGTTACTTTCGATGGTTTGGTATTCAGTTGGGGTAATAATAGTGACCATCCATTGGGGCATAATATTATAAATATTATTTTTTCACCCAAACTTATCCCAGAGTTACGTCATATCAAATCAATTTTATTTTCAGACAACTCATCATTAACATGTTTTCTGTCAACAAATAATATGCTATACTTTTGTGGCAAATATATTGATGGCACAAATCAAAGTAAAATACAAATGATACCTGTGCAAATACCCATAAAATTAAATGTGCAACAATTTTCTGAATTATATTCATGGTACTATGAGGATCCAGTAATAATACTAGATGGTAATCAAATTTTCCAGTTAACTTCACCATTTAATTTGAAAAAATATAATTATAATAATTTTATTGAGTTTTATGCCAATGAATACGGAATAACTTATAATACAATACATATTATTGACACAAATATTGTCACCGATTCTAATAAACTAAAAGTTCAATTGGATCCCAAAATGGTATCAAATTCTCGTGAAACTAAACAAGAGTTAAATCTAAACCAAAAATATTTGCCAAAATCTGATGAAATAAAACCGGATTTAACTAAAGGTTATAATTTATTTTATTATTGAATGTTTATATTTATTATTAATAACTTTAAAAATATTTAATAAATATTCACAGAAAATAATTCATCAGAAAATCTGTACAAAAGCCAATTCATTGAGTTGTCGGATAAGCCCATAGGTTCGGGAGGTTTCGGAACTGTGTTTAAAGTGAAGAATAAAATTGATGAACAGATATATGCCGTCAAAAGGGTTGAAATTAATGGTAATTATTAAATATGCTTTCATTTATATTTGAAAATAAATTTTCATTTTAGAATTATCTGATATGAGACAAGTATTGAGTGAAGTTATGAATTTAGTTAAAGTTCACTCCGAATATGTGGTCCAGTATTTCAATTCATGGACAGAAGTGAATTCATTATATATCCAAATGGAATTCTGTACACAGAATTTAAGGAATATTCTTGAAGTTAAACCACAAGTATTTGGTCGACAATTAGGAGAAGCCATGGATTGTGTCGAGTATTTTATTTCGTGTGAAATATTACGACAAATCTTAGAAAGTGTTCAGTATTTGCATGAATTGAATCCACAGATCATTCACAGAGACCTCAAACCAGAAAACATATTAATCACTGAAAATATAAGAAACGGTAGATTTATTAAGTTATGCGACGTTGGTTTGGCTACATTTCACGACAAAAACATCAATTATATGACTCGGGATAAGCACTCTACCGGTGTGGGCACATTAAAGTATCAAGCACCAGAAGTGGTTCAGGGTATATATGGACATAAAGTGGATATTTATAGTCTGGCATTAATTGGTCAAGATATATTTGAGTTCAATTTGTTCTTTATTGATAAGTATGAAAACCATTTTAGAATTTTAAAAATGCAATATTAATAAAATGTTTACAACTTCTATACAGTACTGAAAGCCTTTACTCCGGGAATGAGATCCTAAACACAAAAGTAAATTCATTGCAAAATATATTGTTGTCAATGCTATCGACCCCTCAATGGAACCAAAGGCCTGAATGTTCACAAGTTTTGCTTAAATATAATGATTGGGCTATTGATCGGAATATTCTAAAAGATTCAAGTTTTGAATTAATTCAACCACAACTAAAACATCATGATCACTTTTTCCATGAGTTTATTCAGCTATTGTTTAAATCAAAATAAATATTTAATTGTTAAACACCAATACCCCTTCACCTTTATTAGATATATTTGTGTAATTATTTAAAAATATTATATACTAATATTATATACCTGTAATTATTTTTAAAAACATTTTAAAATATTTATCATACAACTCGGTAAATTTAACTAATGAGACATCATTTGAAATTGTATATAAAGCCTTTTAAACAGGGCTCTACGATAGCCGTCGGTTCCTTTACTGCATCACACGATCATCAGATTAGTCTTAATCTTGTGATTTTACATTTTTGGACATGTAAATTCAAAAACATAATTTTAATAAAATTTTAAATATTTGGCAATATTTTATCATCAATTATTGTATAAAGTCTCAATAAATAGCTTTGTATTAAAGTATTTTAGGATTAAAAATTTAGATAATAAATCAAGAGTTTTCTTCTAAACTGTAAAATTGAGTGCTTTCTAAGTATTAAATTCTTAGAAAAGACTTAAAATAATTATTATATTATAAATATATTATTTTTCTATTCGAACCACCCAAGAAAGTTCACCGTACCAGTTAAAATGTAAAATTCAACAAATTTAATATTATATTTGTTAATTTTATCCATAAACTAATGTATTGTTACATTATTTAATGATTATAAAGATTAAAATCAGAATATAATAATAAAACAGGCCTTATAGTTTTTTATACAAAGCTAATATATTGAGTACTTTATACAATAATTGATGATAAAATATTGCCAAATATTTAAAATTTTATTAAAATTATGTTTTTTGAATTTACATGTCCAAAAATGTAAAATCACAAGATTAAGACTAATCTGATGATCGTGTGATACACTAAAGAAACCGACGGCTATCGTAGAGCCCTGGGTAAATACAAAATTTAAATAGTTTAAAACAATATACTGTAGAATAATATATTTTAAATTTTTCAGATTTTTCTGGGAATAAATTACTTGAAATTTATAATGAAGTTAAAAATCTAGGAGTCGTTCGTTCAGAATATTGTGTTCAATATTACAATTCATTGACCGAAAGCAAACACCTCTACATTCAGATGGAGTTCTGTTCACAAAATCTGCGGAATATTCTTGAAGTGAAACCACAAGTATTTGGGCGACAAATAGGAGAAGCCATGGATTTTGTCGAGTATTTTATTTCCTGTGAAATATTCCGTCAGGTCTTAGAAAGTGTTCAGTATTTGCATAAATTGGACCCACAGATCATTCACAGAGATCTCAAACCCTCAAACATTTTAATCGATGAAAATGTAAAGAACGGGAGATTTATTAAGTTATGTGACTTTGGTTTGGCTACAGTCCACGACAAAGAAATAAATTATATGACACATGATAAACACTACAGGTGTGGGCACACTAAAGTACCAAGCACCCGAAATATCTCAGGGAAGCAAATATGGACTTAAAGTAGATATTTATAGTCTGGCAATAATTGGTTCAGAAATATTTGAATTAGATTTATTCTATACCGACCCTGATAAGTATGCATACATAAAATAAAATTATATAAACTTTATAAAATATACTTTTATTTTTAAATACAGTTCTGAAAGTTCTACAGTTCGGGAATGAAGTCCTGAACTCAAAAGTAATATCATTACACAAACTCTTGCAGTCAATGATATTACCGTTTATTAACCGACGGCCTGACTGTCCACAAGTACTAAACAAATGTAATGATTGGACTATTGAACAGAATATTCTTAAGGATTTTAATGTTGAATTAATACTATCCAAGTTAAATCAGCATGATCGGTTCTTCACTAAAATTTTTCAAAACAAATTAAAACTACACAATTAAAATAAATTATTTGTTTTATAATTGATTTATAATTCTATGTTTAAAAATTTTTGGATTTATTTTACATAACTTTGTTACCTACTCTTTTCGAGTTAAATGTAAATATGCACTTGAACTGGTACGTTTACTAACTTATTTATTATAAAGTAAATGCAGTATATTATATTATAATAAAGTATTATAATAGTAAATTGTAAAATAATTCAATTACTCTAAAATTATATGTAATATCTTAAAGATTATTTTTTATATAGTTTTATTATATTAGCCAAGTAAATACGAAAAATATTTTTAACATGCCTTTCCAATACATACATGATATATTATAGCTTATATATACGATATATGATAGCTGATATATCATATATCATATATGATATATGATACCTTTCCAATATATGATAGCTTCTATCTGTGAAAGGAAATATTTGAATTATTTTTGAATGGATAATCCAATTGTTAATCTGTTTTCACTGAATTTTAGCAGGATAATCACGTAATCAAATGGTATACTATTTTCCATATTAATCTACCAGGATAACAGAGTAATTTAATTTCAAAGATAATCCATCTTTTGCCATTGGTAATACATGGGGTATTTCTTGATTTTTTAGTAATTTACTCAAATCTCGGTTAATATTAAAACCTCAGTATCTTGGTCATTTCTATTGCTATTTTCAATATTCCAACACCATTTTGTTTCAAATAAAAATGCCATTCTTATGACATTTTGAGTTTTAAAATTTATACAAAAATGTGTTTCTAACCTTTTAACCATGTGTCCTAGAATAATCTGAATTGTGCGTTGGAAAGAGCACAAAAATTTAGTCAAGATAGTCAAAATTAATGATAATTTAGCAATTTACAAAATTAATTTTATTAATTTACCTTTAACCATGTCTTTGAATTTTATTTTTATTA